GTTAGCAGTGACAAGAGTGATTACTTCTATAGGTCTGTGGTTCACATTTGCCATTGTATTTTTCAGGCAAAAATGTAATAGATGTGCTCTTTCTTCCTTGACAACTTTCCATTATATAATTGCTGTCATTACAGACATTCAAGGATGTCATTATAACTGCACTGGCGATTCCCAGACACCATGTACTGTGCCAGTGCCTGGCTGGCTGGCTGCCTAAGATCCCCTCAGGGACCTGGAATAATCAACCAAATAAAACACACAAGCAAAAAGTTCCCTGTTTATTCTGATACACAGCCAGGTTTCAAACCATCATGTCTATGTGAAAAATACTAACATATGACTGCAGAGTAGAGAGTGTGGTAAAATTGTGATATCCTCTGGTATGGTCTTTTTCTGTATTTTGGCCAAATTGAAGTTCACTGACTTTTTCTTTTTGTGACAACTGCATTATTTGGGTTCTGTTTTCCTAGCTCTCACATCTCCTCAGAGCTTATCATTACAGGGCATTTTTTAATGTGCTTTCGTAGGCCTTCATTTCTGCATTTATGTTTGTAGTATTTATTGCTGTCATTAAGTTCTCAATGTTGTTTCATAAATGTCACTTTTTCTGAGCTTATTTACATGTATTGGTCAAAAAAAAAAAAAAAAAGTCTTTTTCTTTTTTAGAGGAGTTGTCAGTGTCCACAATGGATAACGTACTAGACTTTAGCTAGTCTTCCCTATTCCCTTGATGATCTTTTGTATTCCATTTGGAAGATTTGAGTTTTTGTTGGAGAGGTTCGATTTGACATTTTCCGAGCAACAATATCCATACTGCCCATGCGTTTGTCTTTGTTGAAGTGCTGAATGCTTGGCACTTGTATACCTATTGAATTTTGACTTTTTGATGAGTTATATTCTTGGGCAAATAGATATTAGACAAATACTATTTCAGTCTGGAAATTCCTATAAACTTCTTTGCTCCTCAGTCTTTTTTCTTAAATTATTCTTTTTAAAACTCCTTTAACTCACTCTATTTGGAATTACATGTCCAGTTATGGCAGTATCTGGTAGCCCTTGCCCAGTCTTGGCTTTCATGTATTTTTCTTACTGTTATATCTCATTTCCACTTACAGAACTAAGTATTGGTAGACTGTTTGAAATGTTCCACTGATCTTTCTCTTGTGAATACATGGAGAATTAAATATATCAGATAATATAGAATTAGGATAGTTACTAAACAAAAATTTTAATTTTTAAATATATTAGTAGACTATTAGCTCCTCTTCTTTAAAAAAAAAAACAGTCCAGGCAAATAAATGTTAGGTTTTATTTCACTTTTTCAACTTTATCTATGTTGTATTAGTGATGGGATATAGTCATGACATCCTCAAGCTGTCAGTGACTTGAGTCTTGTTTGTGAATTGTGCCCTGCCAACTGTGAACTCTTTTGTATGTTAAATTTCTAGATTTTAAAGTCATCTGAGAAGACTTCACATGAGTTCTATTTAGGACGAGAAGGAGAAAGAATGACCTTGGTTTTATAGCAATTATTACAATTGATAATTTTTGAAATTTTTGATAGCTAGTCAGATCTTTCCTAATAATTTTATGTTCAGGAAATACATTTAGTTTTGATATTAAATATATAAATAGAAGTCATTGCAATGTTAGGCCAAATATTGTATCACAATTTTATATACATTACATTTAACTTTTTAAATTTTGAGGCATGTTATGTCCAATATTGATTATTTTGATTTTTTATTTCAAATTTTTTTGAATTTTTTCCCTGTGAGGAATACAAAAAAGTTGCTGGGAATGTCATGGGTCTGCAAAGCAAAAGTCCTGTTGCTCTGTGTCCTGTAGATTCATATTTGACTAGAGTGTGTTGTGCATCTTCACTTTCAGTCTTCTCCAGCCACAACTGTTACGTCTCCTAATTCTACACCAGCTAAAACTATTGACACATCCCCACCGGTTGATTTATTTGCAACTGCATCTGCGGCTGTCCCAGTCAGGTTAGTTAACGAGTATGCAGTGAACTGTTTATTACTATTTTAATTAGGTTTTTGCTTTATTTTTATGTACTGTACACAGATGATTTCACCAAATGAAATCTAATCCTAGTAACATGTTATATTTTGTGTTATTTTTCTCCTCAAAGTAAATTCTTTTACACTTATACAGTTACTTAGGCCTGTACCTCTTAAATCATTAGAAAGAACTAAACTACAAATCACCTTGTTGCTCACACATTTGGGAAAGGAAGTGGAAGAATGAAGAATGATGCATATACTTCAGGTTCTTCTGAAATCGATTGATAGGAAAATGTTTTCTAAAATTAGCTTCTTCTTGTGGGAAATTGAAAAGGTTTCTTAAGGTGCTTTAAAAAAAAAAAATCGGGCTGGCTGACAAGCTCAGTTGGTTAGAGCATGGTGCTCATAACACCAAGGTCTGGGTTTCAATTCCCGTACCAGCCAGCCACCCAAAAAAAAAAAAACCCCACCAAACTTAAAGTTGTTGGCCAATTAGCCGGTGCTCAAACTTTGAGGAACTCAGACTGCGGCGATGGGAAGAGGACTTAGGGTGCTCCTCCTCAGCTTTTATAGCACCTACGGGTCAGAACAGTAGTGAGAAAGGTGGGGATAACTCTACATTCCGTGAAATCTCAGGCTGCCTGAAATGAATCCCCTGACTCATGGGGGCTTCCTCATATAATTTTAAGTTAGCTCTTTGATTCTTTTGCCTTGAGAGGATTCTAGTCTCCTTTTGTAGTGTCTGTGACTCTGATTATAAGTGCCCTATCTTGGGAGACTTGAATTTTGAGCTGAGCAATTAATCCAAGTACTGTAGCCATGTTAACTGTACTTTACTCTCTACTTGCGTAGTTCTGTTTTTGATAATAGCAAGCTCAGTAAAACCAACTCCTTTCTGCTACCGCAGTAAGATAAATCGCTTCATATAAAAACTTTGATTAGAGACAATAATAAATATGTTTTCCTTTTCTTTTACTTAGTCCAGTGCGTTCATGAGATGGACCTCAAAGCTAGGCGATGCTTTCAGGGTTTTGAAACTTTCTTGAAAAAGCAACAGAATCTTTTCTTCAAAAGAATATTACTTGAAAACCTAATACTTAAGAAAAGATAAAAATGGAACTGCTGTTTAAGAAGATGAATGGGGAACCTGGGACCCTGATGTCTTAGTACCTGGCCTGGATATTTTTAAGCCAAGGCTCCTCAAATCTGAATGCACCTGTAAATCACCTGGGGATCTTGTTAAAATGAAACTTCTGATGTAGTAGATACAGGATAAGAATGAGATTTTGCATTTCTAATAAGGTCCCAGGATACTGCTAGTCTGGTGCCCATACCATGAACAGCAAGCATCTAGGCTCCTCCTTGGAACTTTTGCAGATAGAGAAGCTTTGAAAAGCGCGGCCCCAACTGAGTAAGAATAAAAAATGCAAAGTAGTTTTAAATGAGTCCTCTTACAGGCAAACTTGGTATATTATAATCTAAGTTACAAAAAAAGGTTAAAAAGGTGATTAATTTTTCACCTTAGTATTCTTTGATTTATAAATAAATTAATCTCAGGAGATGTATTTTTTGCTATACAAAAAATTTTAGGAATTAGAGAAAAGGTAACCTCAAAATTATAATTTTTATTGCCCTGTAGGACACTACCCAGGGATCAAATCGAGCCCACTGTCTGTTTTCATAAATGAAGTTTTATTGAAACAAAGGCATGTTGATTTGTTTATGTATTGTCTATGTCTTATTTTGTGCTACAGTGGCAGTGCTGAGTAATGATAGAGATCACTTGGCCTTCAAAGCCTAAACTATTTACCATCTGGCTCTTTACAAAAGTAGTTTGACAACCCGTGGTATATGCTATACTTCCCCAAATATGATTCTTTTATTGGATTTAAAATTTCAAAAATCTTTGACGTTTTCTGCATACGTCTTCATTTTAAAATACCTTTGCATTATAAAATTTCAAAATCTGATTTTAAAGTTACACTGTCCTTTCAGCACTTCTAAACCATCTAGTGATCTCCTGGACCTCCAGCCAGACTTCTCTGGAGGTGCCACAGCAGCCGCGGCACCAGCACCACCACCTGCTGGCGGAGCTACTGCCTGGGGAGGTGAGTGGAATCAGGCATCTGCCATCTCTCTATTCATTTTAGTTAGTTGTTTTTATTTGGGCTAAAATTGTTAAATTTACCTTCTGCTTATCCAAAATGGTGTTATAAACTTGGAGGGAAAATGCTAAGAATGGTATCTATTGATTGAAATATATATGGAGAGAGACACAGACAAAGTACCTATAATACAGGTAAAATGTTCAAGTATTTTTTAATTTAATTTTATTTATTATTATTATTATTTTTTGTCTTTTTCGTGACCGGTAAGGGGACTGCAACCCTTGGTGTGGTGTCGCCCGCACGGTGCTCAGCCATTGAGCACACTGGCCATTCCTATATAGGATCCGAACCCGCTGCGGGAGCGTCGCTGCGCTCCAAGCGCTGCACTCTCCCAAGTGCGCCACGGGGTCGACCCTAGTTTTTATTTTAAATGTTGGAACAGGGCCGGCCCCGTGGCACACTCGGGAGCGCAGCAGCGCTCCAGCTGCGGGTTCAGATCCTATATAGGGATGGCCGGTGGAGCGCGGTGCGGGCAACACCAAGCCAAGGGTTGCAATCCCCTTACCGGTCACAAAAAAGACAAAATTTTTTTAAAAATGTTGGAACAAAGGAGGTATTTTCCTTAGCTATTCTAGAATTCTGATTATTTTTAGTAATTGTTCTCCAGACATTTAGGCCTTTAAGGATTGCTTATTGCTGTGAATTTATGAGGTTGTTCAAAGGCAGTATTTCTAATTTGGTTTGGTCAGGTGTAGCCTCCTTCCTGGATTCCTTTAGGCCTGAATTGTTTGCATTCACATTGTATTTTAACTCCATGAAATTGAAATCTGTTACAGATTCTTGTTTGTGTCAGAAAAGATCCTTACTAAACTGACCGAGAGGAATAATATCTAATCATTTGATTTGCGTTTGATTCGTGGATCTTGGAGAAATCAACCTTTTATAACTATTTGATTAAAAAATGTATTTAAGGGCCGGCCCAGTGGTGCACTGCTATAGTGCGCCGCTTGAGAAGCGCGGCGGCACTCCTGCCGAGGGTTCGGATCCCACATACAGACCGGTTCCTGCTCACTGGCTGAGCGAGGCGCGGGAGCAACACTGAGAGCTGCGATCCCGTTGCCGGTCCCGGTCCGGTACGGGGGCAACACTGAGGGTTGCGATCCGTTGCCGGACACGGAAAAAAGACAAAAAAAAAAATGTATTTAATACTAATATAAAAATTAAGGTAATTGCTACATAATTCTCAAAGCTACACAGAGTTGGTTTTAAATAATGTGCCGTACTGTATCAGAATAAAATTTTCAAAAATATTAAGATATGATTCATATGACTATAAATACTTAGTAACTCACTAATGAGGAAACCAGTAAAATGATAAAGCTGGTTCAAAGAGTGTTTTGAGGGACTGGGTATTTATAGGCATTGGAAAAGGAATGCCAGAATAAGATGGCTAGGTTAGATACACAACTCTTAATATCCTATAGCACAATAAAAATCATAACGTTGAGGTTATCTTTTCTCCCAGACAGAAATTATTTGCATAACTAGCAGACAAGATCTGTAACTTAATATATCATTTTAGAATCAGTCTTTAATTAACAATAAATAGCAAAGTCAAGCAAAGTTACATTTTCCTAGATAATTAAATAATCCTTGGGTGGTCTTGTTAAACTGTATGACACCGTAATATCAAAAGTACATTTTGTGATCTCTTGATCTTATTTCCAAGTTTTTTTGGTAACAAAAATAACAGAAAGATAACCAGTTCTGAAATAAAATTGCTAACTATAAACATGAGCATTTTAAATGCTGGCATGTTTCCATTTTAAATATTTAAACCTTCTAAATTGGAATGTTCAACTCCTAAGAGTACAGTTATTAATTTTTTAAATAAAATTGTTCTTTCAACCTTATTTAACTTTATAAAATTTCCATTGGTAAAGGAAAATATTGCTGAAGAGATTTTATAAGGGCATTCTTCTTTTGCTCATGTTTTCATTCGGAGCTTCATCTTTTTAAACAGTTTATTTTAATTTTCTAATAATTTATTATTACCACAGTGTCCTATACAATGTATTATGCTTTTCTATTTACTTAAATCCATATCCTTAAATTAAATTTTCTCAGCCATAAAATTCATATGAATGACTTTTATAAACTTTTATAATTTAAAATTTAGTTTTAATTGTAAATTGGTTGGGTTATACAAAAAGTTTTTCATTTTTATATGTATGTCTTATCTTTTTAATTCTCTCAGCCATTTGAATCAGTACATATTTCATACTTTCTAATGTTTAGAACTTATCAGCATTTAGTGATTTAGTTAGAACTTTAGTGAATACCCAGTGAAAGTGTAAACTGTCCCCTTTCTCCATATTCCCTGGCATGAAACTGAACAGAAATTTTGCCTTATTTTTCTTTTTAAACTTCTGACACCAAAAGAAGAGTGCCAAATAAATAAAAAGAATAAACTAGGTGAAATATTTTTTAATTGCAATATAACATTTTTATTCATACTTGTCTCTAAGTACTTTTTACTAAGACATATAATCTTGTAAGGAATTTGTTATAACAACTAATTTTCTTAGAATACATTCCAGTATTTACTTACTTAGAAATAAGTAACTATTGATGACTGAAACATCTAAATATCATTTGATATAAAAGAAAGCAGAACAGTATGTTTTTAACCAGGGCTGTCAAATAGACATTCAGTTTGTGCATTGCTCAAAGGTAGGGCAAGAGGGGCTGAAATCCAGCTAGAACTCTGCTAACCAAGCTGTGAGCCTTACTCATTATCGGTGAGGAAGAAGTGCTTTTCTTTTTGTAATCTTCCCCCTCGAGGGAGCACTTTTTTATAATTAGTACAAAAGCACTTTATAGGCTGGCAGAAGCCTTGGCTTAGGGCTCGATGGTCACCTTTTGATGATTAGACAGCATTTCTGTCTCAACAAAGTATCTACAGCTGCAGCATTTCATAGCAATAGAAAAGCCAACTTGGGGGGAAGTACTAATAAATAAGTTCTCTAATTTCTGAGTAAAATGATGAAAATCATAAGCCTTAAGAAATTGAAGTCAACTTCTGTAATATGAAATTGAAAAATAATAGTTGCCCTCTGTTTGCATTTATCTTATAGATACCCAATAGTAGTTGGAGATGATGCTGAATTATCACAGATATGTGTTGGCTCATTTGACTAAGAAAAAATAAAATCACTGTCTCAATCTTGTTTGATAAGATCAAGCCACTTCTATTATTGAAGCATGTTTGAATTTTGTATAACTAGGCAGTAAAATACAAAGTCTAAAATATTATGAACTGACCGTAATGATAGTTAAAGGATTTCAGTTTCTGAGGACCATGGCCACTTTAGATTTTATGAATTTTTCATTGGGGTCATAGATACTGATAACTATTTCCATTTCAGGAGACACATTGTAATGATAATTTTTTTTACTGTTAGTGTAAAGCAACCAAATTTTAGCAAACATATTTTAGTAAATTTAATTTAAATGATGCATATAAAATTTGGCATTTCTTCAAGCTGGTAATGAACCCATCTGACTGAAAGAGTACAGAGTATTTTTTACATCCCCATCTTTGGCTCCATAATAGGGAGAGTGTTTTATTTTCTTCATAAATTCAAGTCTCAGAAGCATAGATAAGTGAGTATGTGTGTTGTGTAACTGTATATCTTAGAAATGGGAAAACAGATGTTTTTTTTAATAAATGCTTGAAGTGTGGGCCAGCCCGGTGGCGCACTGGAGAGTGCGCCGCTTGGGAGTGTGGCGGCGCTCCCACCAAGGGTTCGGATCCCATGTGGAGACCGGTTCCCGCTCACTGGCTAAGCGTGGTGCAGGCGCAACACTGAGGGTTGCGATCCCATTGCCGGTCCCCAGTACGGGCGCGACACCGAGGGTTGCGATCCCGTTACCGGTCAGTAAAAAAAAAAGATAAAAGAAATAAAATAAAATAAATGCTTGAAGTGAACTTTCTACTTTTTGAGAAAATAGGATTACTGCTAGGATTTTATTAGAATTCAAATTAATTAACAACATGTATTTGAAAGCTAATCAATGTTATGTGATTATATGACTCTAATATTTTCCATGTGGAATGTTAGCTACAGTACAAGTAGTTTTGGTGGCCCATATTACCACTTACTTGTTAATAAAATCTTGGGTACATGTCTATAGGCTGCTTTCGTGCACATGCACATGCACGTGCGCGCACACACACACACACACACATACACACACACAAGGAGATTTATAGAAGCCTTAAAATTTACAGTCCTGTAATGAAAATTATAACTTGACTTAAATATTAGCTATTGCTATAATTGACTATAATTATCAAGCTTTAGATATGTTCCAGGTATGGGCGAGCACTTTAAATGTATTAACAGTTATAATCTTCATAATAACCTACAAGTCTAGCTGCACCTCACTGCAGAGTATAGATTTCTTTGTTAATTTAGTTGTAGTTCTGTTTCCTCAGTTGCAATGAATATATCCTAGCAATTTCTGTAATACAAAAAAAACCTCAAAAAACTTCTGATTATATACTATTGGTAAATTAGTTGGAATTCTGGTGCTTTAATTTTGTATGTGTAATTTAATTCTTTATACATAAAAAGTGGTAGTTTTGAGAATACTTAATAACTGACCCCATTATCGTAAAATAGGGACTTTTTTTTAGTACAGAAAAATTTGCCTAAAACAAGGAATAAGTGACAAATTATATTTCATCTAGAAAACTAATATTTTGGAGACTAAAACCTATAGTTGCCAGGAATGGGAAAAAAATTCCATTACAACATTACAAATTTCTATACAACATCAATTATCTATTTTTAATCATTGTGCATTTTCCTAGGAAATCCCAAAAGAAGTTTATTTTCCATCTTCCCTCATGTTGTTGTGGGCAGTCTCATCACCTTCTATCTGAACAGAACACTAGTCAAAAGCAAGGATATTTTAATCTTCCATACCTCTTTTTAAAATCTTTTTATTTCTCTGTCAATCTAGTGCATATAAATAGTCTTCTCCTTTATCACTTACCGAATATATAAAATAAATTGCCCATTTTCTGTCATAGACAATCACAGGTCTGGACTGTGCAGTCACATGGCTCTTAGCTCTTCTGATAAGTTCTACTGTGGCTTGAAATTGCCACTAGTGAGGGCAGGGCTAGTGAGAGTCCCTCAATAGCAGAGGAAGAGAGAAGTAAAGCTTGTCTGGCTTCTGAAGACCCACTTTGGTTTCTAATTGGTATTTTTAAGATATGTGGTTGTGGGTAACAGTTGTATTGAGCCAGGCATTGTTGGTTTGAGGCATTACTTGAAGGACCTTCTATTTCTCAGGATTTTGGAGCTGGCCACCAGCAGCAGAAAATATCTTACCCCAAAGTTGACACAGGCCTGGTTATTTTTTTTACCTCTTGCCTGCTACTTCCTAGGCATACATACTAAAATTTAAAAACTGGTTCTAATGTCAAGTACTCTTGTGCTATAATTTTCTAGTATTGTTATAACATATGTAAAATTTGGCTAGGGAGAGTCCTGATTAACTTAGAGTATCTGTAGAGTTTTTTACAGAGTATTTACTGGGTTTGCAAGTTGTACAGTTAAATGAATGTGATAATTTGCAATGTCAAACTTATGTTTCTCAGTTTTTTAAATGTCTTCTAGAACTTTTGGTTTACTGAGTTCTCATATTGTGTTTAAGTCCCTAAGAAAATAGCTCTCTAATGAGTTCCAATAAAATTTCTTCATGATTAATATAAATTTCAATGGTATTCATGAATTCAGATATGAGCCCTGAGGTATATCACATGACTAAGAGTAAAAGAATGCCATTGCACCCTCTGAATGCTTAACCTGAAGTCACTGTATAGTTAAGAATAACCCCTCTTATACTTTTTATTTTAGTATACCAACTGTAATTCTGCTGTTGAACACTAAGAAAGTATGAACCTCTTAGCCTCAGAAGAATTGAAAAGTATTGATGCCTCTTAATCTCTCTCACATATAACTTTAAAATAACTTTCATGTGTACATGGGGAGAACAAAACCTCTCACATATACATAATGTTTATAAATGTCAAGATTATGTATTATATTGGAAAACATCTAATAATGTGAGACGTACAGAGAAGATAATGGTTTAGGTTAAGGTTTCTTTTTTCTAACACCTAAACATTCACTCGACTCTTTGACTATATTTGGTATGTTCTATTAAACTACAGCTGTCATAAAGCCTGCACATATTCTCTGGTATTCTGGACTTAAGTGACACATCAAATGAAGAGGATCAAAAAAGTTCAGTTAACTACTGATTCTTTAGAATTGACGTTTACAGTATAATGAAAGCAGTCAAAGCAAATGAAATGGTAAATCTGGCAGGATATAAACTGAGTTTGTCACGCTGCTTAGGGCTGACAGAAGGTAAGTCTCCTGACTCCCTTGCCTGCAGTTTTCCTCTCTGTACAACTGAAACTTGGTCTAGAGGATCCGTAATGTCCTTTACAGCTTGAAACGTCCCTAGTAATACTAGGTAATGCTTTTTAAAAAAATTATAAATGGTCTGGAAAGGTATATAAAGCTCAAATTTCTTTAGCGTCTCACCCTGCTTGGACACTGGTATGCTTTGAATGTTTCATCTTTAGCTCTTATTTATTCATATGCTGCCACATAATGGACATGGATAGACCTTTTGGGAGAGGGTGAGTAAAGCTTTATTTTTTTAAACTTCTGTTTTATAGACTTCTGTGTCTTAATAACTGTCCTCATTTTGATCATTTAGAGTCTGGTACATCTTTTGTCTGTCCTTTTCTTCTCTTCCATTTGTTCTCTGTCTCTGGTGAAATATAGATTCTTTGGCTACACTTTCCTCTGCTCCCTCTGAAGCACAGATTTCAGATCCATTTGCACCAGAACCTGCCCCTCCTACCACAACTGCTGAAATCGCAACTGCTTCGGCTTCTGCCTCAACTACTACCACTGTTACTGCTGTCACTGCTGAAGTGGACCTCTTTGGAGGTTAGTTAGTAACATCACTACTCTTTCATTTTCTTTTCAGGATTGCTAAAATCTCCTGAGAATTAAAGTGTTCAAAATTTTTACATTATAGAATGGCATGTCAGAGTGTTTACGTACTTTTTCAATGTTTATTCATATATATTTATCTTCCCTAAAGTTTATCAAATTTCTCTTCACCTAATTTTAGTACTTTTACAACAGAGGTTGCAATGCTTTAGGTTTATTTGATTTTCAGATTTTTTCAAGTTACTACAAGAACTCCTGTCCCATATATGTTCCCTCCCTGCAGTATTTATATAAAAGTGGTACCAGACCTCTCTGTCATATTTAGGTTTGGCTTTTTGGCCAGATGAAAACTAGCCTAGAGAATATTTGGGGAATATGGGAAGGGAAATCCTGGCCTAAGTTATTTCTTAATATTTAGGGCAACAAATCTCTAAGAGTACTTCAGCTTTGGAGATATCTGAAGAGGGTTTAAGGATATGCCTGTTTTTGCAATTTTAAGCTTGTTCTGTCCGAGTAAAAACTTGGATTATCTTCTTATCTTTGGCTTTGGAACTTTGAGAGAACATCTGAAGGAGCCCTTGAAGTGCTAACTGAAAATAGGCTTAGGTCAGTCTTTGAAATGATTTTTTAAAAATATGTTTCCCATGCAAATGTAAATTCTGACCCAGTAAAATATCCTAGACTGTACAAGTATAATATGTCTGGACCTGACCGACCATCTGAAACCAGTTTATTTACATATTCTCATGTGAGTGGTGCTAATGTCCAAACCTAGAGAAGTGCTTATATCAAATCCATTAAACCAGTGGTGTAATATTCATTATAGTTTTGTATTTCTCATTACCATATAACATCTTTCCCAGGGCATTTTGAGAATATGATAAAGAATTTAGATGGTGAGGACAGGAGAAATTTGGCAGGCTCTGGTAGAATTAATATATTCCCCCAGGAGGATACGCTTAGACAATACCATTCTGCTCGATGCTGAGCCTCAGTCTCTGAGGTTGGCCAACAAAGGAGAAATTTGGCAGGCTCTGGTAGAATTAATATATTCCCCCAGGAAGATACGCTTAGACAATACCATTCTGCTCGATGCTGAGCCTCAGTCTCTGAGGTTGGCCAACATCGTCCAAGACACGAAGCATTCAAGTAGACACAGCATTTTTGCCACTGTTTCACAAAAGAAATTGTCTGCTACCTTGCTGCACTGTCTTTCCCATTATAGGAGAAACCTGTTTTTAGAAAAAGGAGGGGAGAAGGATTACAGAACTTTGAATGTTTTATTATAGTTACCCACTATAGAAACTTAGTTTTCCAGTTATGCCCCTGTATCTTTTGAGACCAAAAATTTAAATTTTAGCTAAAATCTATAAAATCAATTTCTTCTTTACCCTTCCTCCGCACCCCCAACCCCATCATTGTTGTTGGGTATGAGAAGTTTCTTACAGGCTTGTGTTAACAAAAAAACTGCAAGCGGAATGGAAAGTATGGACAGGATGGATAAAAATTTTGTGCTGAAACATTTCTATACCTTTAACTGCTTTGATTTTTGGTTTTTAGTCCACTTATAAGGAGCTCGATTACCTGTAAGAAATCAATCAACTCTCTCTTGTTTCCCTCATAGCCCTCTAGAATAATAAAGCCTAAAATATTTCTTTGAAATATTCTTTGTGCCATTATGCTGTTTATGTTTATCATTTATTACTGCCTTGACTATGTTCATCAAGCAGAAAAATCTGTATGTTTGAAATATTTTCATGATGGCATTCTTTTTACCTTTAAATACAAGTTTAAAGGACTAGTACCATGGAGAATCATATAACTTAATGCCAAAAAATGGGGCTGTCCTTGTGATTTCATTAATATCCTTTCTACTCATCTGGCTGGAAAATGAGTACATCTGTAAATCTCATCATAATTATTTTATTGATCTTTACAGTTATGTAAACTGTTTCCTGGCCTCTGATAGCTGTAAAATCTCCATCCTTTATGTTCAGGAGTCTGTATGTGTCGCTGTCTGTTTTGTGGTTTTCAATGATTTTTTCTAATTTCTTTTAGGCCCTTTATTGGTTCATAAGAAATCATTTAGAGATTTAATTTTAAATAAAAACCTAAACTAAAATCTCTTAGGTTATTTTGTGTTGCTATTTTTAAATATTTTGTTGCTCTACAATGGGCAAGTGGTAGAACTCTAGAATAATATGGACACCAGTTATATTTTGTTTGCAAAACTTTAAAACATGCCCTGTTGAAGTTCTATGTAACTTGTACAGTACCTGAGTAGGTATCTTTAGAAATAAGCTTAATGAATTTCAATTTCAGAAAAATAGCTATTTAATTTCATGACTATAAAATATTAAAACATTAAAATTATTTATGTATTTTAGTACTGTATTTAAATTACAAATTTGGAAAATAGGAAATTTTTGCTATTTTTAACAGAAATATTCAGATGATACCCACATAATATTTTAGTTCTTTCAAAAATAAATAGTTCATGTAAGTCAATAAAAATTTTTTTTCAGATATGTTACATTTACTAAATGTTTTATTTTTTAAAGTGAACTCTTAAGAAATAAAATCTGCTTTTTGTGGTCATGCAGAACAGAATTGCAAGGCAGTATTGGGCTTTAGTAATTTAGTAAAACTTATAGATACTGATATAAATAAAAGACAAAACTTTTTTAAACATTCCATTTTTTATTTATGCAAACTTCCTAACAGTAGCACATGGTTTATAACAAACACAGGGTTTTTCTTAGCACTAGAATGCTAAATTGATGCTAATTCCCCTACATACTCAAGGGGTACCCTTTAGGTCAACTGTGTCAGTTTGTGGGCAGCCCTTCATGAGGATGGCCGTCTGCAAGCATGAAACCAAGTGGCTGGAAAAACCCAAGAACCTACATCACACACCTGACTCCTCTCGTACACGTTGGTTAACATGTTGGTTAATCAACCTCCCTTAAAACCAATACTTCAAAATAAGCAGTTACACCTAGATTTCACGTAAGAGCCTTTTAATTCAGGGCCTTTGGGGAAGAAAAGGAACCAGAATGGTGACTCTTGGGCTGCTGAGGACAACTGGAACCTTTGTGCTGAGTGTGTGATGTACTGATGGCGTATGTGTGTGGAGCAGATGGGGAGAGTAGTTGAGGCTGGAGGAGACAGCTATTATAGGTTTTGAGAAAGGTAGTTATGTACTAAAAATTTTGAGAGGAAAATTCTTCCTAGAGTGCTAGAGGGGAAAAAAAGACTAGTTTGCAGCAGTCACAGAGCTCAGTTTGCTTGTTAAGGGCTGGACTGAGTTCATAATTATAGTACAGCAGGAGTGAACATTTCCAGGAAACAGCACTGGTTGAAAAACTGGCAGAATGTAGAAATGAACTGCAAATAGGTAACAAGGAGAAGAGAACTGGATTTGGAAGTAGCTTTAGTTTGCAATACTGGGAGATAATGCTGCCATTGATAATGAAAAAAAAAGCTAGGTATTAAAAGAAGTTTTGTTTATGTAACAACATCAAATTTGTATACTCTCTCTCAGTTCTGGGGGCTGAGTAGTCTCAGCTGGGAAGTTCTCGCTCAAAGTGACCTACAGACAGTGACTGGGGCCTGTGTCATCTGGAGGCTCAGTCATATCTCCCTCTCCCTGCTGGGAAGATTCAAACAGCTGGTGGCTGAGCAGCTGGTCTCCTACCTTTAAGAAAAGTTTTGACAGAAGTAGATGAGTTAAATTCATAATGCTTAGTTTTAAATAACAAGAGAAGCATTAACAGGAAATCTCTTGCTGACGGGAGGGGGGGGGGTAAGGGGAGTGGAAACTCTCCTGAAGATGTAGCTATCAATATGGGTTTCATCTACTTACACATAAGTGATAACCTAAAGAGGTCAAACATAAGTATCTGTTTGACCCCTGGCACTACTATAGCTGATGTTTATTCTAACCTAAAAGGAAGGATTAGTGTTGCAGAATGTGGCACAGTTCAGAACAGTGCAGTTACACAAACTTTGGGCCTAATCCTAACTCTGCCATTTGCTGGCTGTGCAACCTTGGCCAAGTCACTAAGACTTTTAATGTATGAGGAGAATTCAAAAAGTTCGTGGAAAAATAGAATTGAAAGATAGTACGAATCTTTCCACAAACTCTTTGAAGTACACTTGTACTTATTTTTAAATTAACAAATAAAAATATATATTTGTCATGTACAACATGATGTTTTGAAATATGTATACATTGTGAATGGTTAAATTGAGCTTATTAATGTATGGATTACCTCATTTTCTTTGGTGAGAACATTTAAAATCTGTAAGTTTTGGTTCTCTTATCTACAGAATAGCGATAATAGAACCTATATCACAAGATAGTTGCAGGAATTAATTTTAATAATGTCCAAAAAACGTGACTCCTGTTATGGTTTCTACTCTTTCCAATATTATTGGCCACAGTTCTAGTTTTATAGGAGTAAAAGGAAAGAAAACAGACCTGACTCATGGCAAAATATTTATAGCCCTCTTAACTCCTCTTGTACTTTTCTTGAGTTTTTCTGCCCCCGCTTTTAGGGTTTTCATGTTGCTTTAAGTCTTCTAGTACAATTATCCTTAACATGGCACTTGGGGAAGTAAGTCTGCCCTATCCCTTGGTGTATTTTTTTTTTTTTCTCATGCTCTAGTATTATTTATTTGGCCTCTCCCCTGACCTCTATTCAGAACATATATTCCCTTAGTATAGCCGAGAGAAGCAATCAGATCAAATTAATCTGTAGGATATAAATAACTGATGTCTTCTAATCCCTGCTGGGTATATTTGTGTTTTCGTAAAAACCTTTTAACCCAAATAAGTCTCTAGTTTAATGTTTACTATTCCACATAACACTAGGCCTCATGGCATTCCTAAAGTGTGTTTTATACTCAGATCAGTTTTGGACATGCTGGGATAAACTGAGAAACAAGTGTCTTGGCTACAGGACTTTTAAGAGCTTAAAATAATAAGTAAATCTCTGAGAAAGGGAATATACTGTGTAGCAGTTCCCACACATACTTGATAAAATCTTTTTAATGGCTGGAGGAACTGTGTTCTAGGGAATACTGGTAGATATAGTGGAAGACAGTAGTATTTTGAGATGGGAATTCCAGCAGGTAAGTGGCAGGTTCTAAGTGGATGTTGGTCACTGCTCTCCACAGTTTTTTTTCTCCTAGGCCTGTCAGACTTATGATGTCTTGATTCCTTCTGTACTTTTGAAATTAGAGAATCTCTGTGCAAGCTCTAAGACTTTTTACCATAATTAACATGGTTCATTGGTAGAAACATATTAAGAACCATTTACACCCATCAGCCATTTAAAAATTGGGCATTTATAAACTGGGGCTACCTGTATGTTAATGATTTTCTACTGTAAATAATATACTTGTAGCCTTAAAACATGAAAGTATAGTTCTAATCTGTTGAAAATAGATCATTTTCCAAATAACTAGAAAAATATAATATTTAAAAACAATACATTTAAGTGGAAATAAAAGCATTATGGTATTATACCCTAATGTTATCTCTTTATTTCTTTAAAACAAGTCCTTGGTTATCATAAAATGCTTTTCAAAAATAGTGAAAACTTAACAGTTAAAAATACTTAGTAAACCTTTCACATTAACAGTGTAATTTCACCTGTGCTATAAAAAATTTTAAAACTAGAACTTTTTGTTTACAAACATTGCCATCACACATTTCATTTTATTGGCATTAAAGAAGACATTCGTGTTTGCTAGACGCCACTAGTCAGAGACATTATAATAACACAGTGAATATGTATTACATGGACCGAAGGTCTAATGTCTTAAATTACATGATAAAGTTATTTTTGTGTTTTACTTTCCACATCCATTAATTCCTAATGATACATAAAACATGCTTCTCAGAGCCCTTATACAATGAGAATCTTATTACCTTTTGGATCCTAATAGGCCTCAGCAATATCAACCCTGTATCACTTGCATGTTAACCAACACGAAGATGTGTAAAGAATAATCGTTTTGTGAGTGCCAACAGTGCATGGGCCATAAGATGCATTTAAAAAATTCATGTTGTATAAGGGAGCCTTTTTTACAATTTAACTTGGTTCTTTTACTATATTTTCTTCTCTTTTTATTCCTTTAATTTCTCTTGTTTTAAAAACTGCACCCAAGATGCCTTTGCAGCTTCTCCTGGGGAGGCCCCTGCCGCATCCGAAGGGGCCGCCGCACCAGCTACCCCAACCCCTGTAGCAGCAGCACTTGATGCATGTTCAGGAAATGGTGGGTTTAAAGTCATGAGCCAGTCTGTTATTTTTCTGTTCTAATGTGAAACCCCTGTAGTTAGATGTGACCATATGTTTTTCTAATTTGCTTTTTTCCAAGTATAAAGTATCATTCATCATAACTGAATAATAATGCCAGCACTTAAAACATTAAGACAATGAAGTGCATACTTATCAAAATTGACAATTTATCAAGATTGACAATTTTTATCAGTCCAAGTATGCTCTCTTAATGTTTTGTTTTGTTTTGTTTTCTCTAATGCTATATTATACTCTTTTGTACTGTTGAGTTCAAATATATCAGCATGTTTTAATGGATTTTCAAAGCTACCAAATTGACCAGATTAAGTAAGGATTTGAAAGATAACAATTTCTCATCCTAGACTGTAGGCTAATCATACAGCACTTTAAAAATTGTTTCAGTTTCTTAACTGGTGGTACCTACTAAGTCTTTTTTTTCTTTAGAAAAACATCCTAATCACTGACCCCTGCTAAATGGTAGTCATTAAATCCAAGCAACCTAAGGCTTAGCTAGGGTATAAATATTTGCGTAAGGTATCTCTTACCTGTAGTTATGATGCTCTCTCTTGTCTCTTTCCTTACTGATGCCTTATGTGTCTTCACTTTCCTTTCCAAAAGACCCCTTTGCCCCGTCTGAAGGTAGTGCAGAGGCTGCACCTGAGCTGGACCTCTTTGCAATGAAGCCACCTGAGACCAGTGTTCCTGTAGTTACCCCTACAGCTAGCACAGCCCCTCCGGTTCCCGCAACTGCTCCTTCTCCTGCTCCCACCGTTGCAGCTGCCACTGCTGCCACTACCGCTGCCGCCGCTGCCACCACTACCACCACCTCTGCTGCCACCACCACCACCACTGCTCCTCCTGCTCTAGATATCTTTGGTGGTAATTTTTTGTTGTTGTTGTTGTCGAACTCTTTCCATCTGATGAATTCTGGTCCTTGAAATGTACTGCATACGCAGCTGTTACTACTGCATGAATACTGTGTAATTAAATGGTTCTCTAGAAACCATTTGCTGCTTAACTCAGACTTCTGCAAAGTGCTAATTCAGAACTGGGAAAGTGATGAAGTTTCAGGCTTGTTTTTCAAGTTGAGTAAAAACATGTGTGTTCTTGATCTTAGATTTGTTTGAGTCTGCTCCTGAAGTCACTGTAGCGCCTAAGCCAGATGCTGCTCCTAGCATAGACCTGTTTGGTACAGGTAAACCCAAAGCAAACCTTTTTTTTTTTTTTTTCCGTTTAGTTTCCTTAGATATTTTCATGATTAAGCTCTTTGTACTCACTTCTGCTCCTGAAGTCACTGTAGCGTCTAAGCCAGATGCTGCTCCTAGCATAGACCTATTTGGTACAGGTAAACCCAAAGCAAACCTTTTTTTTTTTTTTCCGTTTAGTTTCCTTAGATATTTTCATGATTAAGCTCTTTGTACTCACCTGTGATAATGCATTTGTTAGATTTTTGACTTTGATTTCAGCTTTCTACTACTTACTTCTACTTGATTTTGGTTTGTTTCACTTTTGGAAGATGCTTTCTCCTCTCCACCACAAGGGGCCTCTCCTGTGCCTGAGAGTTCTCTCACTGCTGACCTCTTATCTGGTGAGTGCTTTGCCGCGGTCAAGCCTTCGAGATGTCCGGTGGTGGGCGTTATGTGTGGAGAGGCGGATACAACATGTGGGTTTGTCTTGAGTTCTTTTAAACTCAAAATTTACTTTTTAAAAAAAAATCTTACTTTTTGGCCCATCATCATCTGATGAGGGTTAATATTTCAATTTAGAGGCTGATGAAAAGAAAAAACTTCATTTCACGCTAAAACCTCTGACCTCAAGGAGTCAAATTTTATTTTGTTCTGGAAAGTATGCATGTAAAAGTCCATTTGCTTTATCCACTCCTTAACTGTTAAGAGTGTCTACGATCTTCCTGCCTGGAGTTAACCATGAAATCTCAAGATGCCATTTGTCAAGGCTCATGGTTTCATTTTCCTTTGAGTGACATGCACTTTCTCCTGTTGTGTGCTTCACTGCAGTGGACACATTTGCAGCACCATCTCCTGCAACCACTGCCTCTCCAGCAAAGGTGGATTCTTCAGGTGTGATAGACCTTTTTGGGGGTGCGTATGTCTCCTCCTTCGATACTTAAGGAATTTTTTTCCCCTTCAGAACAGTTTTCAAATCTTCTGTTTCATTATTTTTCATCATTTTTTCTTTTGACCATGTGAAGTTCTTCCATCTCTTAAATGTAAACTTACGCTTTTAAGATCTTTTCCGTCTCTTTGCCATCATCATCTTCAGCCTCATCCGTTCATCATAACTTTCAATGCATGACCTAACAAAGCCAGACAACCTTTCATTTGAAGTCTTTGTGTTTGCAACTTTTTGTTGGTAGAATCACCTGATTGGAATTTCCTTCTGCTGCTCTTTCTTAGTGATACTAATCTGTTGGCTAAATCAACATTTCTAAGTTCTTAAAAGCAATATAAACATGAGCTAGCTAACTTAGAATTGAAAACAACCCAGTCAAAACTGAAAGCATAAGCTCTAGATGGACCACATGATTCTGTAGGGTTTATTTATGTTGAGTTTAATGTTTTAAAATTCTTCCAGATAATGTATTCTCCTTATTCTTTGTATGTTATCAGAAGGCGGGGAGATGTACTGAATTAACTCCTTAATTTGGATGACACATCCAAAGTCTTTTGTTACCAGTGAATTTACAGGAAAAAGGTCTGAAGTGATTTCTTCATAAATACCTATAGATGTGTATGGCTTTGGGCTAAAATACATCCTTAGCAAGTACAACCCATATTAATTACCTCCTGTACATTTAAGCATTGTGGTATATACCATGATGGGTACGTGAGGAGTACAAAAATGTCACAGTCCCTGACACTTGGGGGCTCAAAACTTGTACCAAATAAACACTGAACCTTGATATATATGCACAAGTAAGGTTGCTGTAGCTGCTGCTGCTTGAATTAAGTTTATTAAAATTTTGACAAGTTTAATAGAATTATAAATTGGATATTTCTATTTTATTATGTTTTGGTAAAAATTTTAAAACGTTAATCATGTTTCAATAGATGGCAGGATTTAGTCCAAAAGTTTTATTCTTTAAAAAAGAAAAAATAATTCTCCTAATCTTACAAAGAGGTGTTAATTCTTAAATATTTTAGAGCACTTTTTGAGGAAACAAACTGGTCAGAGCATAATTCAACTTATACAGTTATTTCACATACCCACAGGAGACAAGCTCATCATACAGTGTCATGTCTGTGCATTTCTCTGCATAACACTTAAGTGACTTACTGTACTTATTGTTTACACTCTCTTTTTTGCTGCATAATGGATAATGGATAGATGCATTTGGAAGTAGTGCTTCTGAAGCCCAACCTGCACCTCAGGCTGCTTCTAGTTCATCAGCATCGGCAGACCTACTAGCTGGTAATTAATTAAATTAAAATAAAATGGTATTTTGTAGAAATTAAATTTGGATATATTTTCATAAGTAACAGACATTGCATAAATTGCAGGGTGAATGTTTTCTTCTCCTTTCAAGACATGAAATTGAAAAATAAGACCTTGTATTGTAGAGAGTTAATTATTTCCCAGGATTTTATGAAATTAGTCTTAAAATCAGAGTTGTATACAAGCTACCCCTGTGGCTTCTTGTGTGCTCTTCATCTGCCTTACTTCCAGTCAACGTGTTTCTTTTTGTTTATTAAAAAGGTAATATGCCTATTTAGCAATTTTTATCTTGTAATGCCTATGCCCATCTTTTTTTTTTTTCAAAGGAGTTTGTGGGGAAATGCACAATGATGTTTGATAATTGGTTTTGTAATATATAAATCAGTGCAGGAGAAACTGTTAATTTCTACCATTGGTTTGAAGCTGCTGTTACATATGCCAATTTTTAAACAAGTTGATCATTTTTTATCTGAAAACTGATGGGAGTGGTTCCAGTTTAACAGGCCAGAGTATGGAATAGATTGACACAATTTGCCGAGGATTATTGTTTATCACCAGAACAGTATAGATGAGATAAAAGAAGAGTTCAAGGACTCCAAGACAGTAAAAGCTCAGTACAGGTTGAGTATCCCTTATCCAAAATGCTTGGGAACAGAAGTATTTCAAATTTTGGAATTTTTTTGGATTTTGGAGCATTTGCATATACAAAATCAGTTGAGCATCCCATATCCAAAATCTGAAATCAGAAATGCTCCAAGGAGCATTTTCTTTGAGTGTCATGTTGACATTCAGAAGTTTCAGATTTTTGGATTAGTGATGCTCAACAAAATATTGAGCAAAGGGCAAGACAAAATGTACTTAATGATAGCCAGATCTAGACATTATTATTTTTATAGGCTAAACATTTGCCAGTTGTAAGAACACAGTAATAAGTTCAAGTTTAGCAGCAGCATCACAGAAGCTTTCGACACTCAGATGTAGCTTCCAGTCACCACAAGGGATGTATTTTGGTCCTAAGATTGACAAGGGGCTGATGACAGCATGGGTCACATCAGCACAGAGAAGCCACCACATCTGGAGTCTCTCAACTTAAATACCTTCCTAGCCATATAGCCCTTGGGAAGGTAAGAGACTACTTCCCATTTCTTAGTGTAGCTGTAGTCCATAAATTACCAGTTATACAATGCATAATCTTGACACCAGGTACAGCGTGCTAAGGAGCATTCATTCCTATGTTAGTAATGAGTAATGGCAGATCCTAAAGGACCTTCACCAACCTTCAGAGTTGTAGGAAGTTTGACTTGAGGTCATATCTTTCCTCAAGAAGCTGGGAGAAGTCATCACAGCCCAAGAGTTAACATTTCCTTCTATCAGTGGTTCAGACTGGTTAGGTAGCAGTCTTTCCCAGGGTCAGTGGCGTTCTTTTGTGTCTTTCCCATCCCTTCTAGCCTGCCTTGATCAAATGTGACACTCTTGTATGCTAAGTTCACTCATGCCAGTGACTGCCAGCTGGTTTTTTCTTGAATGATGAAGAACCATGGCCAACCATGATGTCTTCGTAGACTTGGAAGCTACAAATATGATAAGAGGCAATGCACTTAACGTGACCATAGCTGGTTACTTGGGAAAAAAAACTGCTTGCTTGCCTGGTTTTTCTCCTGGCTTAGATATTCTTCATAGCAGCTTCAAACTGGCCACAGAAACTTTCAAGCTCTTGCTAAACCAATTATCTTAATTCACATTTTCAAGGTTCAGCCATAAGATTTTAATAGGCCACAGATATAGCACAGTTTTAAATGTCTATTTGGGGGAACCATGACCTTGTTAATTTTAAAATGAGATTACTGATTACAGGCCTTTTGCTTTGAAGTTATAATTAAGGTTGAAATGGGATATGAAATAAAATAATCTGGCTTTGGGCAGAATTCTAAGTCTTTCTTTTTCTCCTGGGTATCTCCTCACCTGCCACAGATCCCAAAAAGAGGTTTGACTCTCAGTGAGAGTCATAAGAAGAAAAGTTGTGTGTTAACGTTGTGTGTTGTGTACACTTTCTTATTTCTCTGTTTTTTCTATTTAAATAAATTACTATTTAATTTAAATAGATGTTAATGAGTTTTAAAGTCTAGTTTGCTTTCAAAACAATTCTTATAACTTACATACATATATGTACATATATATATATGTACATATATGTATGTAAGTTATAAGAATTGTTTTGAAAGCAAACTAGACTTTAAAACTCATTAACATCTATTTAAATTAAATAGTAATTTATTTAAATAGAAAAAACAGAGAAATAAGAAAGTGTACACAACACACAACGTTAACACACAACTTTTCTTCTTATGACTCTCACTGAGAGTCAAACCTCTTTTTGGGATCTGTGGCAGGTGAGGAGATACCCATTTACTTTCACTTTATGTCCTGATGTAAGAAATTTTAAATTACTTCTAATTTTTGAAGGTCTTAATTTTGGGAGCCAGTTATTCAAACTTCCCTCTGTTTTGCTTACAGAAAAACATTCTTTGTACTTGTTTAAGCACCAAAGCCTCAGGAAGTCATGTAATCACTAAAAAAAAATCATGCAATATTAATAGAATTCTATCTGAGCTAGGAGCAACTTTCCTTGCACAAAAAACAAACAAAAAAAACCCTTAAAATTAAAAAACCCTGCTGATATACACAATATAAAATCATGGTCACATTTACATATGTAATGTTTTTACATTATCCATACATTTTTATTCAATGAATATCAAGTTGAACAAATATTTCGGGCACTGTGTTATTATGGTAATTTGCAGTGAAGCTTAGCACTACATTGTACTTGTATTTGTATTTATGTAAGGAGGGGATCAGCTAAGTCCAATCTATTGAAATAAAGAGGGGGCCGGCCCGGTGGCGCACTGCGCTAGTGCGCCGCTTGGGAAGCGTGGCGGTGCTCCCGTCGAGGGTTCGGATCCCACATACAGACCGGTTCCCGCTCACTGGCTGAGCGAGGCGCGGGGGCAACACCGAGGGTTGCGATCCCGTTGCCGGTCCTGGTCCGGTACGGGGGCGACACTGAGGGTTGCGAACCGTTGCCGGACACGGAAAAAGACAAAAAAAAAGAAATAAAGAGGAACATTTTTAAAAAGCAAATCAATGAGCCTAATCATAGATAACAAGCCCCCAAATGTGATCAAGTTCAAAGTAGGAATGTGAACCAAAAAAAAAAAAGAGAGAGAAAGAGTTTTATTTTGTGAAGGATCTAGAATCCTGTATTATTGGCTGTCAGTATAAAACTATTTTGTGAGATAATAAAAAAGAAAAATAATACAAAGACACCATTATGGGAGGTTTAGACTGTCCAAAAGGAACCTTGGTCATTGGACTGGGGTCTCACACCTCATGCCTAAGATTACATTTAAGGAATATACATTTACATGCAAATAATGAGAAAGCAAAAAACATATGGTATGAGTGAATGTTAAATGACTTTTAGAGACTTTAAACCAAAAATTAAGAATCATGTTAAAACTGGGACGAAAGCTTTATCAAAAATTGGTATGTATTTTAAAACTAGAAAACAAAGACTAAATGGATAGTCTCTTTAAAAGACATAACTGTCATTTAAAAACACAGTTATTCTTTTTCATTCAAATTTAGTTCTAGAACTGTCAGATAATACAAATTACAGAATTGAACTGTACCTTAAATATCATCTTAATCTTCTACCCCTTGAGGAAAAATTTCAAGTTCACTGGTGTACCCAACGTAGTGAAATGCGAGAAAATTCTGGAGAAGGCAGCTGTTGTGGCCAGTGAGGACAGACTAAAAAAATAATTGTCAATAAAATAATTTGGTGGGAAGATAGGGAGAGAGAGAGGAAAAGAGGGAGGGAAGAAGGAAGAAAGAAAGAAAACAAAGAAGGATAATTCTCTCCAGGCCTTTGAGGTTACTGGTAGAACACAGACATTATCCACCTCGAAATGGTGTCTGGCTGAAAACTTGAGACTTAAATTTGTAACAAATAAAAAGAAACATTATTTTACATGGTGACGAGTAAAGCTGTCAAACTCTGCTCAAGATATATCAACTGAAAATATAAATGTTTGAAAGATATAGACTGATTCCTGGATGAGAAAGTAAAGGGAAAAAAAAGGATTATTAAGAGATATCAGGTGTTTTGAAGGATATGCCTAACTTATGAGGTTGACATCAAGCAGGACAACCATGTTTTTCCATAATAGACACAATTCTGGGGTGACTGTACCATAAATCTGTGCTAGTATAGGAGTGTGCCACATTCTAACTTTAATTCCAAAGGTAGGGAACAATTTGGGCCTGCCTTATGAGGCCCTGTGTAGTTTTGGATTCATTCTCTTAACCATATTACACCGATGACTTTTCAGCAGAGACACAGAAGTCTTTGGACCGAATTTAAAATACAAAAATCTTCAGTGTGGAATTAAAAACTAACAATTTCCACTAAATGGGAAGGTCTGCCTAGGACCAATTAATTCTATCATCCTGTGTGAGAGTGGGAAGCAATCTGAAAACTGTCAAAATGCACTGAGAATATTATGCCTAAAAATATTGACTATTTCAGATAGATCTTAGTAAGTGGAATGTATTAATAACTGATCGTACCACTGAGTAATTGAAATGACATCATCTTTAGCATAAGGGAGCAAATGTGAGTGTGGGAGGAGTATGTGTGGGAGTGTGTTTATCAGTAGTTTTAAAATTTCACTCTCTTGGCCAAAGTGATAAGACATGTTATAGGGTCTGTGACAGTCAGGTTTGATATATCTCTATCAACAGAACTTCATTAAGTGTGTAGGCTGTTGTCCTTTTGAAAGATATGCTCATAAGACTAATTGTGAAAAGGCAGTATGTCTGCATATGTTTGAGCACCTGAAGATATTTGGATGTTCAGTTATAGTGTATGTAGGTCAGTTCAAATATGACTATAGGACATCCAGAAGGCTACTGATTGTTATCTTGTTTCCAGTTCCAGTCCATAGAACAACTTTGTTAATATAATTTAGAGCATTGTAGAAAGATCAGTGGTTTAGGTTTTCCTGTTATCTCTATTCCAGGGCTCTAAATGTTTCCGTTACTTAACAGGAGTTCCCCAACCTCTTGATTAATATCTGTAATTCTCTTGTTTAGTTCTTCATTTAGAGTGTAGCAATTGATTTTTTTTTTCAAGATAATCAGATGGTCATTTTATATCACTTACTAGCTGTTTAATTATTTTCGATTCATGAGGGCACCTGTTTCATAAGAACTGAGTATAATGGAAAAAAGTTATCCTGCCAAATCTCTGCCAAGTTTATAAATGTATAGGAAGGATACAAATCCAGCATTATTCCTGGATGTGAAAAGAGGCAGTGTAGAACAGTGGTGAAGAGTCCAGGCTCTCTGGATTCCTATGTGCAATCCTGGATCTGGCATTTGCCATTATGTGTCCTTGGAAAAATTATTTACCCTCTCTGACATCACTTTTTCCATCTATTGAACTTCATGGGGTTGTTGTGAGGATTAAATGAGCTAATATGTTTTAGGTTGAACTGTATATAATTGCTTTTTTTGTAGAACCAAAATGGTCAAATATCAACAGCTCATGTGGTTTATAGCATTCAACCTAAAAAATAATTCTTAAAACAGTGCCTGATACTTGGTGAGTCCCATCCCAGTGTTGGCTTTACCTTTCATTTTCTTAGAGAAGGCACTAATTTTTTTTTCAATGAACAATGTTATTTATTCACCTATGAATGTGTTCTTACCATAAAGTAAAACTCAATAGCACCAAGCAGAGAGCCCTGGGAAAACGCACTCTCTTTCCTCTCTCTACTGAACCTTGGCGAGGTGCGTTAACTCTCTTTGAGTCACTACTTCTAGCCATGGAATGATAGGATTGAATCAGGTGATCCGAAGATCCTTTCCAACACTAACATGCTGTGATTTTAGAATAAATTGTCCTTTCCCCGGCCAAGTTTTTAAGAAACTGAGAGTCAAGTGCAACTGTCTGTTCACCTGTAGCAGAGAACCACACCACAGAACAGTTGCCTAAATTTACCACAGCAATATTCCAACGTGAGGTGTGAGAAAATATTCTTCTAAAAATAAGCGTTGAACACAGCCAACAATCTTCCTAAATCCAAAAGGGCCACATCCACAAAAATAATTACTTTTAGCCCATCTTTGCTTCATAATGATATTAGTTCTTATTGATCTGGAGGGTGTCTTTTCTTCGTTAGGGAAAGTTACATGATGCTTATATCATTCAAATACTAAAATCTTTTAAAATAGCCACCATGAACTTTAAAAATAAGTAACAATTGTTCCAAATTGTAATTTTTCCATACTTGTACCAGGAAAGCCTAAACCCATATCACTGTTAATTTCCAGGAATAGCATGACTTGAACATTACTGCCACCTACTTTAGAAAATAGTAACTGGAGAATTTTAGTGGAAGTCATTTTCAAAATTGTGAATTTTTTTTTTATTGAAACATAGTTGATTGTACATATCTGTGGGGTACAGAGTTGAATATCAATACCTGCCTGCAATATGTGATGCTCAAATCAGGATAATTAATATATTCAACAATATATAATGTAATCGTTTTTCATGGACCTTTATTATGCAGACAGTTTGTGAAGATGACGACGTGGCTAGATTTGAAAGGAATATATACCCAAACTGTATACAAGAAAGACTTCTGGCAGTGTATATTCAACAATATATAATGTAATCGTTTTTCATGGACCTTTATTATGCAGACAGTTTGTGAAGATGATGACGTGGCTAGATTTGAAAGGAATATATACCCAAACTGTATACAAGAAAGACTTCTGGCAGTAATAAATTCTTTTATAATAGAACATCATCCAGTGTGTTATTAAGAAATCACTTCCCTCATAGGTTGCATATTTTTATACAGAAGAAATACAGAGTGACCTTTTCTGCTTCTTTCTGTTGATTGGAAGAAATGATTTGCTTCCATCCTTCAAAGGATAAATATTTTATTTGAGGTTGGGATATTTTATAGTAGTCTTTGATTTCTCCTCACCTTTTATATTCAAAAGGGTCCTTCATTTAATAAACATTAATTCAGTATTTTTGGTACTATGTGAATATTAGTGGAAAAGACAAGAAAAGTTTCTGACCCGAAAAAGCCATCCCTGGGGTTGGGGTTTAGTTGGGGGTGGGGGTGTGGATAAAGATGTTCGATGGGGGTAGGATGGAGCTTTGTACCAAGTGCTCAAGATACTTGGTGTGTACTTTGATGTGTGGGTGGGGGGTTGCTGCTGGTAGCAGTGGATAACAGTATAAGAGCAAGGAAGTCCTCCCAAGCAGGCATCTGACACTGAGTGGTGAATTACAGTCAAAGCCTAGTTTACAAAAATGGGGACGGGGCAGTGGGCAGAAGGTTCTAATTGCTATACAAAGGAATTTGTATTATATGAATCTGAAAGTTATGGGAAGCCAGTGAAAGATTTTAGAGAACTTTGTCAACATTTTCCACTCAGAAGGATCACTCTGGCTGTACCACAGAGACTAGATCAGCAGAGCTCCAGAATAGAGACAGGACGTCCCCCCTGGTGACTTTATGAATCCTGAGAGCAGTGTTAGAGGGGCCTGCACTTGGCGGTAGCTACGATGGAGCTAGTACATGTATGAAAGACATGAGGGAGGATTTGATGTGTGTTTTTTCTGATTTGTATTTTATTATAATACTAAGCCAATGTTTGCAACTAAACATTTTCTAACTACCTGGTATTGTGATTTAAAGAAACATAAAATTTCAATGTAATGACAAGAATTTTCTGAATTTTAACCCTAGTGATACTTTTTGTGCTTTATGTATGCCATAGTAATAATAGATTTGGTTGCCACAGGTTCTCTTGATATGGGTATATGTAAATATTCTTATGTGTCCTCTTATTTCTAATTAAATTAAATCTTTTATTAATACATGACAGATATCAAGATACTTGAAGAACTTTATAAAAATAAACTTCCCTGGTTTCATTGACTGCTAATCTACATGCATTCAATTCCTTTTCGATTTTCCATAGCTTTTTCTGATTCTGTTCTTATGGCCTTTGCCTACCTTTAGTTATTTCTGCTTATATTCTTCTGGAACTTTTTTTTTCAGGATTTGGGGGTTCTTTCATGGCCCCCTCTCCATCACCAGTGACTCCAGCTCAGAATAACCTGCTACAGCCCAATTTTGAAGCAGCTTTTGGAACAACGCCTTCAACTTCTAGCAGCAGCTCCTTTGATCCATCAGGTAAGGCAGTAATTTTCAAACATACTTTTCATTTGTTCTGATAATAAAACACACCACCTAAGGTTAGTAGGTTCTCAGGAATTTACAACAAGCAAATATTAAGTGTTAACCGCGTTTTAAAACTTTAATCAGTCTCTCAATCTGTAAGTTAAGTTAAAATTTCCAGTACATTTTGGTAGCTTCAAGAATAACCTGCAATCCTTTCTGTGTTTCTGTTTTTTATTTTTAGCAGAAATCTAAGTTAAAACACACACCGTCTATTTGCATGAGCTTACATACACGATTTAGAGATGGCTAAGGGAAAACAAATACTTTGTACTAAATTGTTGTCCAGGATCTGAGTATGTGGACACTCTCACTGCTGTTTGCTTACACCCTCTGAAGCTTGCATGGCCCTCAGTTTTATGAAGTTGAGACACAAATAGTATTCTTTGCCTGCCTTTAACCTTTCATCACTGCTGTCGTTTTGTTTGTATTCTCTTCCATTCTACTCTTCCCATGCTGGGTCCTTACTACAAATTTTCAATTGGTGAGTTTTTGGCAATTAAATGTGTTTCAGAAACACCCTAAGTATATCTTCTGCCTGACAATTTGGTTGCTTCTATTGCCAGTGCCTAATTAAATGCTGTCCTTTTTCACTTTAGAATTATTGTATAGTAGTGTTGATGGTAGATATGCATAGTTTTTTGATGAAATTTAACAATCACAAAGTTTTTGACATAGGTAAGATATTAGTAATATCTTACGGAAATACTATGAGTCTGCATTTTGAGTGGTCTTTCTGTATTTTAGGAACTGAACAAGTGGTGATTCATCATACGGTGATCAGGAACCATCTATGATGGCATGTGATTCCTAATACTTAAAATAGTGTTTAATTTAATTGTAGAGAGAAAAAAAATCTAAGTTCTTACTTCTAAAATATGATCAACTATTTTTCAGACACTTATTACTAGGTGCTGACCATTAGATCAGGTTTTGTTTTGACATTAATTTTGTAGGAAACTAGGAGATTCAGTCTTCTTCTCTCATTTAAGAATTGTTTTAAAAGTAAGCATGTTAGGTTTTCAGAGTAAATCATTTAGCCTTTGCTATAAATCACTACTGTTTTGAATAAAAGTGTTTTAGTGATTGTTTAATAGGAATAGCAATGGCTACCACTTATCTGAATGCCTATATAGAGCAAGCATTATAATAAACACGTGTCATATATTATCTAATTTAATCTTCATTTATTAGTGGTACTCTCCCCATTTACAGATGAGAAAAAGTTCAGAGAGTAACTTTCTCAAAGTCACACAGCTAGTGAGACATGCAGCTGAATTGGGATCCTATTCTAACTGCAAAGTCTGTGCTCTTTCCTGTGCATTATACAGATTTTTTTCCCATCTTTGTTCATGTTCATTAGTATTTCCATACTTTATGAGTAGACATATGCAGACATGTTCTTTTTGGAGTTATAGTTTGAAAAGTGTAAATCACATGCCTTCTAAGATTGTATATTCACTTGTTTCCATAGTTTCCCAAAAGACAATTTCACTTTAATTTTGCATATTTTTAAAAATTATTCTGAGCCTGGTCTATTTGATTTCCAGTGTTTGATGGTCTAGGTGATCTTCTGATGCCAACCATGGCACCAGCTGGGCAGCCTGCACCTGTCTCAATGGTACCACCCAGTCCCGCAATGGCAGCCAGCAAAGCCCTTGGGAGTGATCTTGATTCATCTCTTGCCAGCTTAGTAGGCAGTGAGTAATCTAATTTTCTTTAACTGAAGCATATGTGAGTTGGGTTATTTCTCTATATTTTTTTACATGTTTTGTTTCTGGATTCACTTATGGGTAAGCTTATCAAGGAGTAGATAGAAATATTTAGTGCTCTACCCAGTGTAGTTCCTTAAAAGGTAAACAGTTGCTATGCATTGTCTCACAAGCAGTACCCATGCCATTTTTAATCTAGATTACCAAAGGTATAATTAGGGAGCATATACAAGTATGAAATCAATTGCATTATGTGTAATAAGTACTTAATTTTCTATTTTATTTTGAAATAAGAACATAGAATCACTTACATTAAACACAGTATACTTTCAAATTGAATATCCAACTGAGTTTCAGTTATTCATTCAACAAATATTTATTGAGTACCAGGCATTCTTCCAAGCTCTAAAGATAAACCAGTGAACAAAACAGACAAAAATTTCTGCTCTTATGGTTCCCTGGAAAGGCAGAGACAAACATTAAACATTTTAAAATACATCAATTCTATATTTCGTTAGATCAAGTTCCATGGGGGAAAAACAGACAGACCAAGGGAAATTGGAAGTTCTGCAGGGTAGGAATTAGAGTAAGCCTCACCAAGAAGGTAAAATTTCAGCAAAGATTTGAAGGTAAAGGAGTGAACTATGTGGCTATCTGAAGAAAAACATTTGCAGGCAAAGAAATTGTCGGTGCAAAGGCATTGGGGCAGAAGATTGCCAGCAGATTCAAGGAACATCAAGGAGACTGGTGCCTGTGGAAGGAAGCCTGGCAGTTCCTCAAAATGTTAAACCACATGACTCAGCAGTTCTGCTCCTAGGCATATAGGGTGGAAGTGAAAATATATATCCACACAAAAACTTGTTCATGAATGTTCATAGCATCATTATTCGCAATAGTTGGAAAGTGGAAACAACCTTAATGCCCATCAGTTGCTGAGTATATCCATATAATGGAGTATTGTTTGGCAACAAAAGGAATAAATTACTGATACATGCTACAACATAGATCTACCATGAAGACATTATGCTAAGTGAAAGAAGTCTGTCTCAAAAGACCACATGTTATATGATTCCCTTTATATGAAATGTCCAGAATAGGCAAATGCATAGAGACAGGAAGTAGATTAGAGGCTGCCAGGGAGTGAGGGAAGAGGAATGATTATTAATGGGTACAGGGTTTCTTTTTGTGGTGATGAAAATGTTCTTAAATTGATTTGTTGTATAACTCTGTGAACATACTAAAACCATTGAATTGCACACCTTAAATGGGTGAATTTTATGGCATGTGAATTATATCTCAATAAAGATGTTTTTAAAAATGCTTCTCACTGTTAGCTGAGGCTTCTGTTGAGACTGTACTGCAGTCTTGCCAGATCAGAATTCCTTCTCTTCTCTTCCACAATAAAACTCTTGCTTGCTAATCTCGATCTCCCTAGGGACTTGGCCTGCAACGGAACCCCATGCTCCCAGCTTAGCATTTCCATCTGCCCCAGAAATGAGAGAAGGGATTCACGTATACCTGTCTAAGACACATTGCTGCTTTTTCGCCTTTTCACATAAGCAGGCATAAATATTTGGTTTAGCTTTTTAATTGTTTAATACACATAGATTTAGTTTTTTAGTCTAATTGAAAAATAAATTTTAAAAATACATTTTCTTTGCCTTTTAAAAACAAAGACTAAAATTATGTGTAATCATTCCTGTATTTGGTATTCAGTTAATATACACCTTATTCTATTTTGTAATGCCAAAATTTGGAGAGAAATAATTACATCATCCTCTAACATATCAGCTCTGCACCTGATTAAGGCCTTTATACTGGCTGTTGCTCAGACTAGAAACTCCTCCACCAGATCTCTGCTCGGCTTTACACACATCTCACCTTCTCTGTGAAGCCTTCCCAAGCACTCTATTTAATACTACCTGTTCCCTTACTCTCATCCTACCCCTCTGACCTCCCCCTCATCTTGCTCTTTCTTTTCATTTTTCCATAGGCTTTCCATTATCACCTTCTAGCAGCCTATATAATTTAATTTTTCTATTATCTTACTGTTTATTATCTGTCTCACACAATTACAATGCAAGTTTCTCCAGGATAGTGATCTTTGAGTATTTTCCTCACTAATATGTTCCACCTGCCTAGAACAGTGCCTGGCATATATAGAGTCTCAATTTTCTCCAGGATAGTGATCTTTGAGTATTTTCCTCACTAATATGTTCCACCTGCCTAGAACAGTGCCTGGCATATATAGAGGCTCAATAAATATTTGCCAAAGTAATAAATGAATGGAGATTAGAAAAGAATGATTAAGCCAGCTGTGTCAGGCATTCCCAAGACCATCCCCACATTCACAGATTCACTAGAAGGACTCATGGGACTCAGCATGCTGTTGTACTCACAGTTAAGTCTCAATAAATATTTGCCAAAGTAATAAATGAATGGAGATTAGAAAAGAATGATTAAGCCAGCTGTGTCAGGCATTCCCAAGACCATCCCGACATTCACAGATTCACTAGAAGGACTCATGGGACTCAGCATGCTGTTGTACTCACAGTTAAGATTTATTACAGTAGCATAGTAAAGATACACAGCGGGATCACAAGGGGAAAAGACACAGACAGAGTCTGGAGCCCACCTACAGATTTACTTATGCTCTTTCTTTCGCCACGAGGAGAGCACACTCTTCCCCCAGCATCAAACATGCCGCAACATGTGTGAGATGTTTCTGCCCAGTGACACCCTTCAGAGATTCAGGTCCCAGGGTTTTTACTGAACATTGATCACATAGGCACTCTCGGCTTGGCATGAACCAAAATTCTGGACTCGTAGAAGGAAAATAGGTACTCAGCATAAACCACAAACAAACGGTGTAGCACAGTGAGCCACACGTATCACTTAGGGAAAGTTTTATCTCAGTGTAGAGAACCGCTTCCTAGCCAAGCTCCCAGACGCCAGTCTCACAGGCCTTCCTAAGATAGCAGCCTCAAGCCTGCTATGTTTACTCTTTTCTAGACACCAGTTGACATTAAAATGTGACCCTTAATCCTAACATGAAGTAAAAGAAAAATTTTAAATTTATGGCTATGTTTCCTAATATACTTTTGTTTTGTTTTGTATAACTGAGTGAAGTCATTCCTCGGCAAAATATGGACTTTTGCTAGACCTCTGAGCTTCAGAGACCTTTGATCTTTTAAATGTCATATCATATAAGTGTGTATAGAGGTTTAAGTTCTTTTTTTTTTTCTTTAATCCACTTATAGATCTTGGAATTTCTGGTACCACATCAAAAAAGTAAGTGTTTTAAAATTATCTGGTTTCCTTTGACAATGTATTTGAGACTATCAGACATTGAATTAGAATTACACATTCTCAGGCTAGGTAATTTCAAAATTGGTTTTTATTCCATTGGATTTTTGTTGTTATCCTACTGCAACCTCCAAACTGTTGTTCTGCAATGAAAAGGCATAATCTATTTCAGTCTCCAAGATTGTCGCTAAGTCATATTTAGAAATATTTGGGAATTGTGGTTTGAATATTTTAATAACTTTAAATTCTAGATTCTTTACAATATTCCTAGCTGACATTGATTTTAAATAGTCTTTTGTGAAATTTCTCTTTTAAGGAAGGATAGTAAGAATGAAAAACAATATGCCATTTTTTAGATGTGTATTTTGTCATTGAAATCAGGATGCATTTTGCCACAGATTTTGTCTTACAATCACTGCAAGGGAGGTTGTAGTCATGATATAGTTGTGTTGAACCTTCTAAGATCCAGAAAACACCATCATTAATGACTCTTAAATTTAACAAGATATAGGTATATGGTATTTATGATATACTTGTTTGTAATTTTTTATGAGTGAGGAATTTATTGAATTTTCTGGCATATTTTTCTATTATAGGTGATAGGAAATCCCTGTTATCACTGTGGTCCAAACTCTTAAATGACTTTTTTCAAATGCTTTTAAGGTTTCTTAGATACAATATGGTAAGAATCCTCTGTAAGTTTTAACTTGCTTTCTTTATTACCTCGTGACTCAAACTGCTTCTAAATCCAAATAAAGGAATTCAAAGGAGCCACACACTATTTTTTTTCTGATTTGTATTCTTTGTTTGTTTGTTTTGATTTTAGGGGAGATCTTCAGTGGAATGCTGGAGAGAAAAAGTTGACTGGTGGAGCCAACTGGCAGCCGAAAGTAGCTCCTGCAACATGGTCAGCAGGCGTTCCCCCAAGTGCCCCTTTGGTATGTAGCCATCAGAGGCCAGGGCAGTGCAGACAGTTTGCCAGTTCCCAAGTGTATAGAGCAGGGCATATTTTTGCTTAGCTTTGCTACTGGCATTGTACTTTTTAAAATCCACTTTGAAGAAATATAAGCAGGATACCAAAAATAAAATAAATATACCAAAAATAAAATAAAATTTACCAAAATGAAAATTCCATTGGCTTTATATTTAATAAGTATCATTTTTTAATTTTAAATGTTTTGAAATTGTATTTATGCTTCTTCAATATTAGTAAAATTATGGAAACAGTTTTTCAAAAGCATTTTATGTCATTGATCATTATACATTTTATAATATTCCTTGCCCAAATTTTCTGATTGTCTTAATAAGTAATGAAAACTTTTTTTCTTACCAGAAAGATTGGGCAGTTTTCTATTGTGTAAGTGAAATTTCATTTTAATCACTATCACTTCTGCTCACCATCTTTAAAATTGAAACTACTAACTCCATCTTTTCTATAAGGTTTAAACAGTTTTCATTTCTATATTTTAAATCTCTATTAATGTATTAATACTGCCATTAACTCTGGGAAAGAATATATCACTAGAAATAAAAGGTTAATTATTGCTTTGTGAAATTTGCCAACACAAAAAGGACTTGCTCCCAGGGTGGCAAAATTTACTGTTTTCCTATATATGAGAGTACTTCAAAAAGTTCGTGAAAAAATAGAATTGAAAGATAATATAAACCTTTCCATGAACTTTTTGAAGTACCCTCATATGTCTCATATTCAGCAAAACTACATAAGTCACTGTTTACCAAGCTCACTCATAGTTTTCCACCTTTGCTTACCACCTCCACCCGTCTAAATCATAACGATTTCTAAACCTGTCTTGATATCATTCTTTGCTTGTTGCCTGAATTAACTCACCATCACTCACAACCCCCAGCCAAACAAACATGCCTGTGAGTAAGTTAATATAAATTAAAATATAAGTGGTTTAGACAGATTACATTAAAAATATCCAGGAATTAAATATCTGAGATTTGGAATTTAGAACACATTTTCTTTTAAAGAGTTTTATGGTCATTTTTTTATATGTTAACGGTCTTATAAATAAATAGTTTTTGTAAATGATCAGTTGAAACCAGTCTGAAAAAAAGCCTTTGAATCTTTCTTTGTATTATATAAAAACAGTGCCTAAGAACAATTTTTGTATTTAGCTATAAAATAAAGAGTTTTGTTTTAATTGCTACAAAGGATACTTAGTAGTAAATTACAAACTTCTTTTAAAGTGACCTGTGCCTAGGATGACCATGTAATTTATTTCCAAACCAACANAAAAAATAGAATTGAAAGATAATATAAACCTTTCCATGAACTTTTTGAAGTACCCTCATATGTCTCATATTCAGCAAAACTACATAAGTCACTGTTTACCAAGCTCACTCATAGTTTTCCACCTTTGCTTACCACCTCCACCCGTCTAAATCATAACGATTTCTAAACCTGTCTTGATATCATTCTTTGCTTGTTGCCTGAATTAACTCACCATCACTCACAACCCCCAGCCAAACAAACATGCCTGTGAGTAAGTTAATATAAATTAAAATATAAGTGGTTTAGACAGATTACATTAAAAATATCCAGGAATTAAATATCTGAGATTTGGAATTTAGAACACATTTTCTTTTAAAGAGTTTTATGGTCATTTTTTTATATGTTAACGGTCTTATAAATAAATAGTTTTTGTAAATGATCAGTTGAAACCAGTCTGAAAAAAAGCCTTTTGAATCCAGAATTTGCCACTAAGCAGTACTAATAGTATTAATTAAGTTACAATTTATATATCTAGAAATATTTGGGAATTGTGGTTTAACTATTTTAATAGCTGTGAGTTCTAGATTCGTTCTATAGGAAAATACATTCTGTGCTCAGTCTTGGGTTCTTAACCTGTTTCCTCTGTTCTCCCCACCTGCCCCATGTTTTGCAAGACAGTAGGAAATTCAAGCACTTATATCCTCTGCCTTTGTCGAGGTCACAGTCTGAAAGGACTTAGTTTTAAGAAGTGATTTCTAACAGATAACAATGAGAAAATTACTTATTGTATCTAGATATTTATCACTTTGAATCTTTCTTTGTATTATGTAAAAACAGTGCCTAAGAACAATTTTTGTATTTAGCTATAAAATAAAGAGTTTTGTTTTAATTGCTACAAAGGATACTTAGTAGTAAATTACAAACTTCTTTTAAAGTGACCTGTGCCTAGGATGACCATGTAATTTATTTCCAAACCAACAGTCTTTTGAGGCCGAAAGGGGCTGTAATTATTACCCTGGGACCCTGAGCATTGACTTGTGGCTGGTGGCCCAGATGCTGAGACCATAAACAGGCAGTACTCCTGGCCTGGGGGCTGCACTCCTTTCTTAGGTACAAAAACATTCGAGAGCTTCTATCTTGTTGGCAGGAGGAAGAGAGAGATTCAGTAAATGAAAATAAAATCCCTAAAGAAAGAAAAACCTTCTTCAGAACTTATCTTATAAATCTATTAATGCTACATAGTGACATTAAATGTCAAAATATATATTATCATTGCCAAAGTAAACGAATTAATATTTCTGTTCTTATCTGTACAAGATTTAAGTCTTATGTGCTATTCTGAGAAATTTACACTTCAGTTTTATTAGAAAGAAAGAAAATTCTCAGGTAGAATCTGCACAAATGGGGATTGTTGTGAATGAGGCAACCAAAAGAATGGTTGCCCAGGTTTCTGTTGGGACAGTTTACTCAATAATGAGGCCATTAACCCAAAAAAGGTACGAAGAAGAAGCACTTTAAAAGTAGTTCTAAGTTGGACAACTTCCTCGGCCATCACCCCTCCCCCACCAGAAAAAAAGTTTTTAACTGTATGAAGTTGAGAATTCATCAGTTAATTAATGAATGTTTTACATCTTCAGGATAACAAAGCTGCTTACTGATTAGCAGACACTGTCAATGAGACTGAAATTGATATTCGCATTTCTTAACCCCAAAACTCTTAATTTTGTTTTTGAAGCAGAAAATTTTAAATTGTTAATAATTAAACTCTAGAAAGTTAAATATGGTAGGTTTTAGTATAAAATATCCACAGCAGCTGTGGAAAGAGAAACCAGAACAACAGAAACAATTATGATGATGGTGGAGTTATGTACAGTTTTATTTCTTTTATTTTCCTTAACATTTTAGACCACAAGATAAAAGCTTTCATATGCATATATTATCTTTATTTACTCTGTATGGGTACCAAAACTCCACCTCCATCCTTTTAGGGTTTGGGCTGGGTCAAATTAACAGAAGAAAACCATACAAATTTATTTAATACTAGTTTTACATGGCACAGGAGCCCTCAAAGAAGCAGTTACAGTCAGTTACTTTTATGCTGAATTGGACAAAGAATAGTGAAGAAGCAACTAAATTATGTGGGGAGGCTTAAAAGATAAGAGTTATTTTGACAAAGTCTGCACAGAATTCTCTTGGTTTTGACATCTCATGTTCCTGGAAGATAAGAATGTTGCATCTTTCTAATATAGGGCAGGTGTCTTTCACATGGGAATTTCATCCTCTGCTTTTAAGAAATAGCAATAAGATCAATGTGATCTTTTTGTACCTGCTGTTTCTCAAGTGCCTTTAACTTAAATAGTCACTATGCCAAGGTGGTGGGGCAGGTGTCTTTCACATGGGAATTTCATCCTCTGCTTTTAAGAAATAGCAATAAGATCAAGGTGATCTTTTTGTACCTGCTGTTTCTCAAGTGCCTTTAACTTAAATAGTCACTATGCCAAGGTGGTGTATTTTTAACTCCTGCAACTCTCACTTAGTCTTATATATGGTCAGTCATTTATAAGTTCACTACCATTTACTCCATTTACTGCAAATATCTTCTTCCTTAACAAATCTCTGGCTTTGCTTTTACTTAAGAAATCATTCTGAAGGCCTATGGCTTTCTTAGTCCTTCCTCTCTGCCCCACCCAGTTGTCTCATAAAACGTCTCTTCCATCTTCCTATTTCTTAAAATATATTTGAGTCTCTGAGAATATTCAAGAAAAAGAAGAAAGCAGAAACTTGTGCTTCAGAAGCAGCAAAGCTGTGTTTCTAAATTTTCCTAGTAATCTGCAGACCTTTGCTTTTGAGTAGAAGGTGAAGGGGGAAGATATGGGAGTAAGGATTAAGTTTTTATTGATAAATAAGAACTAAGGTTACTTTTTCCAACTTATTTCAAATTTCCCTTAATTGTTGCTTGGAGATACAGCTGTAAAATTTCACAGGTCACAGAACCCAAGTCAGATCTAAAAACCTCAAAAGGACTTGAATATTTGAAATATGTCTACTGCCAGGGTTCTACCATCATGGCCATTGGGAGCCCTGTGTTTCATGGATTACTTTTTCCTATTACCCAATGTACAGCTGACCTACTAAGATTCCATTATACAAACTGAGAAGATACTTGCAATTCAGAAATATGTGCATTTTTCAGGAAGGCCACTGTTAAAAACTTTAGACAAAATAAATTTAGCAGAGTTTGAGCAAAGAATGATTCATGAATCAGGCAGCACTCAGAACCAGAAGAGGTTCAAGAGGTTCAAAGAGCTTTGCAACAGCAGCATGGGCAACAAGCTTTAATAGACTGATGTGGAAGTAACATGAAGAACATATATTTGACTGCTTAGAGTAGAAAGACCCTAGTTAATGTCCACAGTTAGAGGTTAGTTGGCATTTCTGATTGATAAAGTCTCTAGTTTCATTTTACTGTTTACATTGGGCTTTGGTTTGCTTACATGGGAACTTAAAGTGCTAGAGGTGCCTCAGTCTAATGGCCTCCCAATTAAAAATTTTTTAACTGTACAGAATCTGAGTTATTCTACCATGTGAGTTAAATGACAAACTTAGATAATCTCTTTAAATTATTTGACCCATTTATTTGATCAATAATTTCTGCAAGTTCACTTTGTTTTGATAACTAAAACCTTTTTCTCTTTCATA